TTAAGTATTATATTAGTAGTATATTAATATTATACTAGTATTATATTAGTAGTATATTAATATTATACTAGTATTATATTACTAAGATTATATAAGTTAAGTACTATATTAGTAATATTATATAAGTCAAATATTATATTAGTAATATTATATAAGTTAAGTATTATATTAGTAATATTATATAAGTTAAATATTATATTAGTAATATTACATAAGTTAAGTATTATATTAGTAATATTATATTAGTAAGACTATATAAGGAATATTTATATTAGTGATATATAAATTAAATATTATATTAATAGTATATTAGTGATATATAAGTTAAATATTATATTAATAGTATATTAGTATTATATTAGTAAGATTATATAAGTAATATTTATATTAGTAATATTATGTAAGTTAAGTATTATATTAGTAAGATTATATAAGTAATATTTATATTTCGTTATCGAGTTCGTTGATTTTTCACGATGATTTTCTTTCAACGAGCTTTCATTTCTTTTTTCTTTTTTTTTTAGATCATCCACGAGCAGTTACTGTATGATAGAATAATTTCGAGGATGACGGAATCGAAAATGACCCAAAGAACGTAACAGAGGTAATTGTGTTGTGTTCATTACAATCCGTGCGTATTTCAATCTTCTTAATATGAATGATGATTTCTACAGTTCCAAAATTTGAATACAATACAAAATATAATAATATTTAATAGAACGCAGTGCTAAAGCTGACATAAGTTGACATAATTTCAATCGATAAGAAGTCACAATTTGTTTTTTTTTTCTTCTTCTTAAACAAAGAGAAATACGACAGAAGCTACTGTTTTCGTAATAATATCTTTTTAAAAGGTATCTTTTTATTCTCACGTAAACTCGACTGAGGGAAACAGAAATTTCAGGTTCAAGAGAAATTTAAGTTTCGCTATATATCGTCGGTCAATCTTGTATTATCAAAGTTCTCAAAACATTCGACACTACAATATCGAGCGTGCATATAATTTTTCAAATTGTATCATAATTTAACGAGGTAGATACAGAACTAGACCAATTCGTCTTCAAATCATTTTCAGTTTCAATCGTGTTTTGCATTAAAATTCTCCCGTTTAATCCGGCAGCAGCATTCAGAAAAAAATCAGCAGAAAATGCATTTATCAGGTTTCCCTCCGCTGATGTTCAATTGGTATCGGAGGAACGATCGATCGGTTCGATGGAAGGTACACGGTTCAAGTGGACCGTGGACCGTGTGTTTCGTGATTGCCAGAACTTACCAGATATTGATTATTGCAATCGCAGCTCCATTTGTTGTTCATCAGATCCAATTCTTCAAGCCAGTCCCACCTTGCTACGAATAGCTGAGGCAAATATCGCAGGGCGTTATCTGATAGATCGAGTTTCTTTAGCGGTGGCCACACCGGTCCCTCCGAGTCATTCTGCAACAATTTATGATTAATGATGATAATAACAATAATTTCTTCGAACGATCTTCTTTTTTAACCAGTTGCAAACAAATGAAATTTAAATGGAAGTTTACTTCCATTATATCCACTAGATATCATAATAAATACTATACTTTTATTTCTTGTAAAAGAGAAAAAACCAATGTCTTTTCGTTTATAAATTCTAACGAGGCTAATATTGGAAGAAAAAGTATGAAATTAATAGGAAATAATATTTAAATAGGAATTAATATTTATTTATTTGTTTTAGCTAAATTAACAATATTTAATTTTATATCTAATATTATAAATTATATTTAATGAAAATTAAATTTCAGTTAAATTGATAATATTTAGAAAATGAATAGAGCAACGTCGTCGATAGTTATTGCAGTAAAATCGAGGCTAAATCGAAGA